TGCAGCCATCATTGTTGTTTGGCGGGCCCGGGCTGGGGATTCGAACCCGCCACCTTAGGTGTATGTGGCTGGTGCCTTAGCCGCATGAGCCACAGGCGCCGAGCCTTCAGCACCTTTTCTTGCTCTGCTTTGTTGGCTTGTTCCTCTCCACATGAGGATGATGAGCTCTTCTCCAGTGTTAGACTGTCTGGGCCAGAACCGTGTGCACATTTCAGTAACCTGAGGAAGCAAAGAAGGAGAACACCATTCAAGCCCAGATGATTCTGTAAGGCCAGGCTTGCATTCTTTAGTGCTGCTTTGGACACTAAAGCTCAGTCACTCACCAGGACCATTTTGATTCTAACTCAGTGAGTTATTGCCACAGGGGTAGCAAAATGATAGCCTAGGTTTGTCAGTAATTATGAGTCAAGATCAGTCCTCCTTGTAGCAAAATTTTCGAGGCTTTGCAACTCCTCTGTAAGTTTTCATTCTTAGTTAGAATTTAATTCTGTCAGCTTTCAGAAGATTTTTGGGTGGTAATTCTGTTAATGGTAAATGGTTGGAGTCTGTGCTCTGAGTTAAGAAGGAAAGATCTTTTTCTTTTTCTTTCTTTTTTTTTTTTGAGACAGAGCCTTAAGCTGTCACCCTGGGTAGAATGCTGTGGCATCACAGCTCACAGCAACCTCCAACTCCTGGGCTCAAGCAGTTCTCCTGCCTCCTCCTCCCAAGTAGCTAGGACTATAGGCGCCTGCCACAATGCCCAACTATTTTTTGCTTGCAGTTGTCATTGTTATTTGATGGGCCTGGACTGGATTCAAACCCACCAGCTCAGGTATATGTGGCTGGTGCCTTAGCCACTTGAGCCACAGGTGCCAAGCCAGAAGGAAAGATCTTTAAGCTATGGAACAGGTTATTGACAGCACCACCAGTAAGTTAAACCCATGTTTTTGGCCAGGCGTGGTGGCTCATGCCTATAATCCTAGCAGTCTGGGAGGCCAAGGCAGGATCACTAAGGATGTTGGAAATGCAGAAGCCATTTATTTTGGAAATATGATTCATAACTTGCTAGGACAGAAAACTTAAAGATCATAGTGAAAGTGAAAGAAGGCCAGTTGTGGTGGCTCACTCCTGTAATCCTAGCACTTTGGGAGGCCAAGGTGAGTGGATTGCTTGAACTAACAGATTCAAGACCTGTCTATACTAAAAATAGAAAAATTATCCAGGCATCGTGGCAGGTGCCTGTAGTCCCAGCTACTCAGGAAGCTGAAGCAAGAGGATTGATCCCTTGAACCCAGGAGTCTGAGGTTGCTATCAGCTATGATGCCACACTACTTTACTCAGGACGACAGAGTAAGACTCTGTCTCAAAAAAAAAAGTGTTTTTTTTTTTTCTTTGACATTTAATAGATAGGGACTAAATGGATTACCTACCATTAAGGTCAGGATAGTACCAACGTGTATGCTGTAGATAACAAAAAAGGGATTTCTAAACATTAGGATGAGAAAGATGTATATCCTCTAAAAAAAAAGAAAAAGGGAGAGAAAGATGTATATCTTTAAATGTTTTTAAATTATTGTTATACATTTTTATTAAGTCAAAATTAATAAATATTACACATAATCCCACTAAGAAAACCATTAATATTTTAGTGATTACACTCCCAGAATTTTTCTATATATGTGCATAGAATAATGAATTGAGTCTACTGTATGCTCTCAGCAGCCCCATGAGGTAAGTACATAGGTACTTAATGTTAGTCCTCATTGGCTGGGCACCCACAGCTCAGTAGTGGTTAGAGTGCCAGCCACATGCACCGGCGCTGATGGGTTTGAACCCAGCCTGGGCCTGCTAAAAAAAAAGATAGCCAGGTATTGTAGTGGGTGCCTATAGCCCCAGCTATTAGAGAGGCTGAGGCAAGAGGATTGCTTGAGCCCAAGAGTTTGAGGTTGCTGTGAGACAAACCAAATGTTAGTCCTCATTTTGTTAGGAAGAAACAGGCCTTGAGAGAGTAATTGACTTGCTCATGGTCACAAAGCTAGGAAATGATGGCCTCCTCCACTCAGCTAGTTCCACAGCCTATTTGTTTTGTTCTTAACTGTCAATAATTTAGACTTTGCCTAGTAAACATCACTCCTTTTGATGTACAGTTTAAGTTTTGACATCCTTTTTGTTGTTAAAGAATCTTTAACACTAGTTTGTAATCTACTTATTTCACTTAAATTTTCTTTTCTTTTTTTTTTTTTTTTTTGAGACGGAGCCGCAAGCTATCCCCCTGGGTAGAGTGCCATGGCATCATGCTCACAGCAACCTCCAACTCCTGGGCTCAAGCGAGTCTCCTGCCTCAGCCTCCCAAGTAGCTGGGACCACAGGTGCCTGCCACAGCACCTGGCTATTTTTTGGTTGCAGCTATCATTGTTGTTTGGCGGGCCCAGGCTGGGGATTCGAACCCGCCACCTTAGGTGTATGTGGCTGGCGCCTTAGCTGCTTGAGCCACAGGCGCTGAGCCTTCTTTTCTTTTCTTATCTTTTTTAGAGACAGAGTCTCACTTTATCACCCTCAGTAGAATGCCGTGGCATCACAACTCACAGCAACCTCCAGCTCTTGAGCTTAGGTGATTCTCCTCCCTCAGCCTCCTGAGTAGCTGGGACTACAGGCACCTGCCACAATGCCTAGTTACTTTTTTGTTGCAGTTTGGCTGGGGCTGGGTTCAAACCCACCACCCTCAGTATATGGGGCTGGTGCCCCACTCACTGAGCCACAGCTGCCGCCATTAAATTTTCTTTTCAAATATATTTCTTTAACATGATTTTAATGGTTGTCAAATAGCTATCTGTTATATTTGATGTGACAACTAATTTTAATCCTGGGCCAGGTGCAGTGGCTCACACTTAGAATTCTAGTACTCTGGGAGTCTGAGGCAGGTGGAATGCTTGAGCTTCAGGAATTCAAGACCAGCCTGAGCAAGAGCGAGGCCCTGGATATTGTAGCAGGCACCTGTAGTCCCAGCTACTTCTCAGGAGGCTGAGCCAGGAGGGTCAGTTGAGCCCGGGAGTTTGAGGTTGCTGTGAGGGGTAATGCCACAGTACTCTATGGAGGGCAACAAAATAAAGCTCTGTCTCAAAAATAAATAAATGAATTTCAGTCCTTAGAAACTACTCTATGAGATAGGTGCTGTTATTCTGATTTTTATAGATAAGGAAACTGAAGCACAGAGAGGTTAAGGAATTTTCCCCAAATCACACAGCAGGTAAGTAGCAGAACTAGGATTCAGGGGCAGGCTGATTCCAGAGACTTTATTCCTAAGTATTATTATGTAATAGTATATAGTACATAACCTTGCACTATACTATGGATGTACTGTAATTTATTTAACTAATGCCTTGGTTTTAGATGTTTAGATTGTTTCCAGTTCTTCCTTGTCTTCAACAGTGTTTTTGTACTTAAGTCTTGTTTGCCACTCTGATTACTTTCTTAGGATTACTTCTCGCAAGTGGAATTGCTAGATCAAAGGACATGTATTAATATATTTTTCAGGGCTATCTTCAGAAAACAACCCTTCAGAAAGGTTGTTTAATTTTGCTCTTCACTATCACAAGAATGGAAGAAAAAGTATCCAATGTACACACCCCTATTATGAAACTAATTTATACCTTTTACATGAAAGCTATAACCTAATAATAGCCTAAGAATATGGGGAGAGGGGAGGGGGGGAATGGGTGGAGGGAGGGGGATTGGAGGGATCACTTCTGAGGTTTATCTTACAGGGGTACAAGTGAATCTTTCTAAGAGTAGAATGTGAACGTTTTAAAATAATAACTAAGAAAATGACACGAAGGCTATGTTAACCAGTTTGATGGAAGTGTTTCGGATTGTGTGTGAAAACCCCACACTGTACTCCAGAAGTGTATTAGTGTACATAGTTACCATTCAATTAAAAAAAAAAAATTTTGCTCTTCACCACCACAGAATAAGAGTGAATTTATTCCCTACACTTTTGCCAACACCATGCCTTATCTTTTTTTAAGTGTTATTAAACTAAATGACAAAAAAAGTTACTAGTAAGATGATCATTTGTTCATATATTTACAGACTGTTTACATTTATTTATTGGTTAGCTGCCTATTTTTCTGTTGTGCCATTTTTCTGGTAGAGGTTGGTCAATTTTACGTGAAGTGATATCTCTTAGTTACACACTTAGCTTCGTCTGGGGAAGATGGTGTGAGATATGCGCAACAAAAGTATGCAGAACTCTTTGCTTGCTGGTTGGAATGTAGGTTCTTCCTTCTGGACACAAGCAGTTTCTAAACAGTGAACAGGTTGATTCTATAAACTACCAGCAAAAATTGGTCTTATTTCATGGTCATTAGTCTATAATAAACATTTTTCATGTCCTCAACAGATGGAAATTAAAATTGCATTTATGTGCCCTGTCTTAAATGTTAGTGAATTTTGTAAAGAAGGCTTCCTGCCAGTGACTAATGAGAAATGTTAGGAGATTGTAGCATTCTCATTCTGGCATTTAAGTATTAAAACATAAGATCTTAACAACATGCTTTTGAGCATTTGGCATAGGTTATAGCACTATTGAAATGAAATAGCATGATTAAATACCAGTTATTTTTTATTGATTTTGATCTCAGCAAATGAAACAATTCAGATCATTAGTGGCTCACTTACCCATATGTAATATAAGCTCCCTTTTCTTATTGTGTTGACCTTGATCAGGTTATGTCTGACGTTCATTAGGTGTGTGGAGAGTAACTAAAAAGGGTTCTGTTTACAGAAAAGAGATTTAAATTATCTGTTGCTCTTTGGGGCTATGTGATTAAAATGTGTATGTAGAGGCAACCTAGGAAGAGAAAATAAATGGAAATTATTTTTGTTTCTAGGTAGCAGTACTGCCTGCATCGTGGTGCTGGACAGAACTAGCCACCGCTTACACACAGCAAACCTGGGCGATTCAGGCTTTCTGGTTGTTAGGGGTGGCGAAGTTGTACACCGATCAGATGAGCAGCAGCATTACTTCAACACTCCATTCCAGCTCTCGATCGCTCCCCCAGAGGCCGAGGGAGTTGTCTTGAGTGACAGGTAATCTCCCCTCTTAGCCATTTAAGTGTGGGCCTGAGCTCATCCATAGGTCTCTTCTCATTTGTTTTGAATGCAGTAAAGACAGGCACTTTCAGTTTTAATATGAAAAAAGATGACACATTGAGAATGTTGTCATCAAGACGACTTTTTAGTCTGACTTTGAAAGATAGTTTGTGGCTCGGCGCCTGTGGTTCAAGTGGCTAAGGTGCCAGCCACATACGCCTAAGGTGGCAGGTTCGAATCCAGCCCGGCCCACCAAACAACAATGCCAGCTGCAACCAAAAAATAGCCGGGCATTGTGGCAGGGGCGCCTGTGTTCCCAGCTACTTGGGAGGCTAAGGCAGGAGACTCACTGAACCCAGGAGTTGGAGGTTGCTGTGAGCTATGATGCCACAGCACTCTACCCAGGGAGACAGCTTGAGGCTCTGTCTCAAAAATGAAAAAAGAAAGATAGTTTGTTTGAACCAGATAATAAAGTCAAATTTAATTCTGATAAATATCCAATAATTTGACAAGACTGGCCAGGCGTGGTAGCTCACACCTGTAATCCTAGCCTTTGGGAGGCTGAGGTAGGAGAATGCCTTGAGCTCAGGAGTTCAAGACCAGCCTGAGCAAAATGAGACCCCATCTCTACTAAAAGTAGAAAAGTTAGCTGGGTGTAGTAGCCTAGAGTCTCAGCTAATTGGAAGGCTGAGGCAGGAGAATGGCTTGAACCCAGGAGTTTGAGGTTGCAGTGAGCTAGGCTGTTGCCACAGCACTGTAGCCTGGACGGCAGAGTTAAGACGCTGTCTCAAAAAACAAACAAAAGGGCTGGGTGCAGAGGCTCATACCTGTAATCCTAGCAGTCTGGGAGGTCAAGGCAGGTGGATCACTTGAGCTCAAGACCAGCCAGAGCAAAACAGAGACCCCATGTCTACTAAAAATAGAAAAAAACATGGCCAGCATCATGGCAGGTACCTGTAGTCCCAGCTACTTGGGATGCTGAGGCAAAAAGATCACTTAAATCCAGGACTTTGAGATTGCTGTGAGCTATAACGGTGCCACAGCACTCAGGATGACAGAGTGAGACACTGTTTCAGAAAAAATAAATTGACAAGACTGTGAAATCCTATTTTTGGCTTACAGAATACCATTTTTTTCTTATTAGTACCACACGGTATATACAGTGTATTTGTTAAATAATGCTGAAATGAGTCATCGTTCGTGCATGCCATTGCTTGTGTAAGATTATGTACAGAGTGCAGACAGACATCTGCTTTGTTAGAATAACTTCCTGATCTTCTGGACTTTTTACTACATGCATCAAATAGAACTTGCTGGACATGATCAAAAGTGGTCTTGTATGTGTTCTGTGTAATGTTTTTGAGATTTTCTCTTTTTCTCTCTGTCATCTTCATTTTTAAATTTTCAAGAGCTTTCTGGCTGGGTGCAGTGGCTCATAACTGTACAGCATTTTGGGAGCTGAGGCAGGAGGATTGTTTGAGGCCAGGAGTTCAAGACTAACACTGAGCAACATAGCGATACTCTATATCAACAACAACAACAACAAAAAATAGCCAGACATAATAGTGCACACCTGTGGTCCAGCTACTCGGGAGGCTGAGGCAAGAGGTTCACTAGAACCCAGGAGTTCAAGGGTACAGTGAGCTTTAGTGATAGATACCACTGCACTGAAACCTAGGTGTCAAAGCGAGACCTTGCTTCCAAAAAAAAGAAAGAAAGAAAGATCCTTCCAGGACAATTGGTACTTTTTTAACTTTTGAATTAACTTTTACGATTTCTTTTCTTAGATGAATGTCCAGAGTAAGACTAAGACAGTCTTAGATTTCACTGCCTTTAAAAATCTTAATAGGGGCTTGGTGCCTGTGGCTCAAGTGGCTAAGGTGCCAGCCACATACACCTGAGCTGGTGGCTTTGAATCTAGCCCCAGCTTGCCAAATGACAATGAAGGCTGCAACCAAAAAATAGCCAGGCGTTGTGGTGGGTGCCTGTAGTCCCAGCTACTTGGGAGGCAGAGGCAGGAGAATAGCTTGAACCCAGGAGTTAGAGGTTGCTGTGAGCTGTGATGCCACGGCGCTCTACCCAGGGCGACAGCTTGAGGCTCTATCTCAAAAAAAAAATCTTCATAGGACCTGGTTCAAATATCGTTGGCAATTCATAAATGTTATTAGGTGGGTAGTGAACTTTTTGTAAAAAACAGAAACATTCTAGCAAGTTCTTGTCTCTATTTTTTTCTTTTTTCTTGTTGTTTCTACTTAGCAGCTCTTGCTAAGCTTATTCTTAAGTCTAAACTAAAATAAAATGATTATTATTACCATCTTTTAAACTGGAATAAGCATTTTCTATAATTAGGTATTAAATATTGCCCATGTAAAAAGTCTGCTAGACTTTTTTAAAGAGACAGAGTCTCACTTTGTCACTCTTGGTAGAGAACTGTGGCATCACAGCTCACAACAACCTCCAGTTCTTGGGCTAAGGTGAATCTCTTGCCTCAGCCTCCTGAGTAGCTGGGACTATAGGTGCTGGCTGCAACTCTCGGCTATTTTCTTGTTGCAGTTTGGCCGGGGCCAGGTTTGAACTCACCACCCTTGGTATATGGGGCCGGCGCCCTACTCACTGAGCCACAGGCACTGCCCAAGTCTGCTAGACTTTTTGGAAAGAAGTAAGTAAGAATACTTTCAGGTTTAGGCAGATTACCATACTTGGGAGAGTATTTGATTATAGGTTCTTCTTTAGTTGGCTTTAATACACATTACTGTTAGCCATACAGGAGTGGGGTGAACACAGAACACCAAGCCTTCAGTACGTGCCAGCTTAGATAACAGTTTTTAGAGAAAGGTTCTTTAATTCCTTTCATTTAATTCTTCTTGTTTTGGGTTCTAAGTGCTTGAATGGCCCTGCCATATCTTACACTCTGTCTTTGGGATAGTCTGCTTAGGGCAGCACTCTACAGCCCTGCCAGTGAGGTGGAGGTGGCTTCCCCTGGAGCACAGAGACAGCTTGCTAGCATGTGATTTCGGCTCGTGTTTCAGTGCAGTCAAAAGTTTCCAGCAGCACAGTATGTTCAATCAAAATGGGCAGAACTGCAGCTGGCGGAACACCAAGCTCATCGGTGGGAGTATTAGGAGAGGACAAGCTGTCCAATGGGAGCAAGACTCTCACAGGCAGAATAGCAAAGGACACTCCTGGGGAAAGAAAAACCTCAGCATAAAATAGAGCTTCAGTGCCAACCTGGTCATTAATCTACACTTCTAGAATCTGATTTGTTTTCAAAGGCTAAGTAGATGAGAGTGTCTTGCATTGTTTCTTTCTTTATTCCAGGGCAGAAATCGACCTGATTTCCACCAGTTTTATAGTCTTTTTTTTTTTCTTATTGCATGTCTCCTTGGTTGTTTGTCACTTTATCAATAGAATATTATGTTAACCTTAACTTATAGGTTTTCCTTTAATATCTGTTGTTGCAAAGTATTTATTATATGGATGTACAAATGAAAATTGTCCCCTACAATAGCACATCACAGAACTTTAGTTGTGCCACTTATTTCCTCAGTCAAGTAAAGATGAACCAGAAATTTTCTTAATGTATTTTTTGTAAATTCCCAGCAGGCGTAGGTGATTTTGTATTTTGTATTGATGCTTTCTTTTCAAAAACTGTATAACATGTCACTTACACAGTGTTGAGGTTTTTCTGTGAAGCTTAGGGTACTTTGGTCCAAGCTCCTCCCTTGTGGGTCAATGTCTGAATTTTTTTCCTGGCTTCTGTTTCTTACTTAGGTGTTAAGGCAAATTATTAGATCTCACTTTGTCCTTCGCTTAGAAGGCCAGAAGCAGTGAAACTGGTCTTCACAAATGGCCAAGAGCCAGCCTCAGAGAGGTCCGTGAACTCTTGGAATATATATATGATCTTTTCTCCCTTGTCAGAGAAAAATATCTCCCATCTGGTTTTTTCTTTAAGTTATACACAAAAAAATGTAGTGAGAAATCTATTTCCTATCCTTGCCCCTTGTCATACATTCCTTTCCTCAGAGAGGCTGCAGGGAGCAGTTTCTTTAACTCTCTCCAGATTTATTTTTTGCATATAGAAGCATCTACATCCATGTGAAATGATAAAAACAAACACTTTTCTTCCCTTAATATATTAAAGAGTTTTCCCCCAATTTAGAAGGTTAAAAATGTTGTTTCTTCATTCTTTTAATCATTGAACAGATATTTCTTCCCTTTTTTGGGAGGGGGGGGTAAAGTCTCATTTTGTTACCCTCGATGGAGTGCCATGGTGAGCTCACAGCAACTTCAAACTTTTAGGCTTAAGCTATTCTCTTGCCTCAGCCTCCTAAGTAGCTGGGACTACAGGTGCCCCCACAATGCTTGGCTATTTTTAGAGACAGGGTCTCACTCTGGCTCAGGCTGATCTCAAACTCATGAGCTCAAGCAGTCCACCTGCCTTTGCCTCCCAGAGTTCTAGGATTATAGGCATGAGCCACTCGCTGTGCCTGGCCTGAACGGATATTTCTTGAAGACTTACTATGTACCAGGCACTAATAAATAAATATCCATATCTGACAAGCAGTTTGTGACCCCGGGAGATGCACAGTCCTTACTGTGCCATTGTAGATATTTCCTTTGAATCACTTCATACAGAACAGGCATGCTTTTCTCTGTGAGTGTTCAGTATCCGCCCTTGCTATAGCATAGCCCTCTGAGAGTCAGATTCAGACTTGCAAGGAAACTGGTAAGTGAAAAATGAAAAAGAGGCAAGGTGCAGTAGCTCATACCTGTAACCCAAGCTCTCTGGGAGGCTGAGCCAGGTGGATTAACTGAGCTCAGGAGTTTGAGACCAGCCTGGGCAAGAGTAACATTCCATCTCTACTAAAAATAAAAAGCTAGCTGCAACTTGGCACCAGCCATATACACACACCAGAGCTGGTGGGTTCGAACCCAGCCCAAGCCCGCCAAACAACAATGACAACTATAACCAAAAAATAGCCAGGCGTTGTGGTGGGCGCCTGTAGTCCCAGCTACTTGGGAGGCTGAGGCAAGAGAAACGCTTAAGCCTACAAGCTGGAGATTGCTATGAGCTATGATGCCACAGCACTCTACCAAGGATGACAGAGTAAGACTCTTGTCTCATAAAAACAAACAATCAAAAACTAGCTGAGCAAAGTGATGAGCACCTATGGTCCCAGCTACTTGGGAGGCTGAGGCAAGAGGATCACTTGAGCCCAAGAGACTAGGGTTGCTATGAGCTATGATGACGCCACAGCACTCTGCCCAGGGCAACAGAGTGAGACTCTGTCTCAAAAAAAGAAAGGATGGAATTTGACTCTAAAGAATTAGGAAATAGGCTCGGCGCTTGTGGCTCAAGTGGCTAAGGTGCCAGCCACATACACCCAAGGTGGCGGGTTCGAATCCCCAGCCCGGACCCGACAAACAACAATGACGGCTGCAGCCAAAAAAATAGCCGGGCATTGTGGCGGGCGCCGGTGGTCCCAGCTACTTGGGAGGCTGAGGCAGGAGACTCGCTTGAGCCCAGGAGTTGGAGGTTGCTAT